AGAGAACAAGAATAACGACTAGGGTTTTCTTTTCTTGTGCTAGCAAGAATAATGAATAAAAAAATTCTTACAGTTTTCAAACCCTAACAGCCTATTAATATAAGTCCAAGTGAGCTTGATCCATCTCTTAAACTTCATCCGATCCAATATTCAATTAATCAAATTACAACTACAGATCATTCTACTTCTTCTTTGGCTCATATTGAAGTGCCTCATGTTTCAACTAGAAAGCGTGTTATGCTAGCTCATTTGCGAGATTATATCGTAACCAATGATAATGATGTTTTTGATGAAGAATTAGTTAATTTTGCATTATTTGCAAATTGTGATCCTCACTTTTGCCACAGAGAAAGAAATCAATTGGCGTGAAATGAGTTTACAAAACAAAGTTCAAACCATATGGTCAAGTCGATTGGTTGAAGGGTCGATTGGTTGTGAAAAGGTACAAGCAAAAGGCAGGTATTGACTACTATGAAGTTTTTGCACCTGTAGCTCGAATTGATACTATTTGTATGGTGATTGCACTAGCCACTCCAAAGAAATGGCATAAACATCATATGGATGTGAGATCTGCATTTTTAAATGATTTTCTTGAAGAAGAGGTCTATGTCAACCAGCCAGATGCTTATGTGTAGAAAGGTCATGAAGAAAAAGTTCTCAAATTAAAAAAGGCTCTCTACAAGTTAAAACAAGTGCCAAGGGATTGGTACACTCGGATTAACACATATTTCCAAGAAATTGGTTTTCTCAAGTGTCGTTACAAACCCACATTGTATATCAAATCTAATTCACATGGAAATATAGTTATTATATACATGTATGTGGATTATTTGATTTTTTCAGGAAATGAACCAAGTATGTTTGGAGAATTTAGGGAGGCTATGACTAGCAACTTTGAAATGACCGATATGGGACTTATCTCTTATTTTCTTAGACTATAAATGATGCAGACTAATGGAGGAATATTTATCTCGCAAAAGAAACATGCATCAGACATTCTTAAGCGATTCAAGATGGAATCATTCAATCCCATCAAAGCTCCTAGGTTTCATTTAGATAAAAATGGCAATGGTGAATTTGTTGATCCAACTTATTTTCGAAGTCTGGTAGGTAGTCTACGTTATCTGACTTCTCCTAGACCTGATATCACATTTGAAGTTGGTACTGTTAGTCAATTTATGGAGAAACCAAGCCAATCTCATTTGCAAACTATTGGGAATTTACTTAATCATGCTTAGTGGAAATAAAACAATTTTCAATTCCCAAACGAGGATCTGCAATGTGTTTAAATAGAAACTGTGATGAGAATGATACATTTGATGAATTTCACAAACTCTTTTGCTTTTCTTGAACNAATCCTTTGTTGATTCACGAACTCCAATGATCACGATCTGCAATCCAAGCTGTCCAATTGTCCAGCCTCCAATGGTGATCCACACAGAGAACAAGAATAGTGGTTAGGGTTTCTTTTCTTGTGCTAGCAAGATTAATGAAAAATTCCATACTATTTTCAAACTCTAGTAGCCTATTAATATAAGTCCAAATGGGTTCGGCCCATCTGTTAAACTTAATCCGGTCCAATATTTAATTAATCAAATTAATTAAATCTGGTCATGAATTAATTAATCCAATTAATTAATTCGGGCCTATTAATAAACAACCCAATTAATTAATTATCCAACACTTGTCAATTAATTAATTGGTAAATCTCATTCTTCTGATTCTCTTTTGTGTGTGACCCATTAGGTTCCCGATCACGATGCCGAACGACGTGAATTATTATTTTGATCTAATCAAAATCGATAAATTAAAACGCCCCTTTTAATTTATCACTAATTCATTTTCGTTGTCCCAGATTGACATCTAGCAATGTATCAGGGCAATACATGTGACGGGAAATATCACGTAGCATGACAAAACCAAACTTGTTCGTTTACCGTGAAACTATAATCCTTTCGTCAATATGATCCGATCAATTATGAGATATGGATATGTGTCAATCTCAATTATCGATCATATCTTTTATCCCACTGTTAAGTCAATGTACGTCGAAAACTCTTTTCCGACTTATGAGTTCACCTTGGCCAAGGATTTCATTATCAACTTAACTGGATAAAATGTAGATCATAATCTCTTACTATCTAAGAGTGACGAATCCTCTATTGGTCATTCACAACCTTCATATGATTCTTGACATACCCGAACGATGTTGTATTAGCGACCCTTGGCAGAGCAACATCCAACACCACCAAAGTATGACTGTCCTCATATAAGGTACCATGATGACCTCAAGTCAAATGACCAATTCCACTACCGAATGTTAGAGATTAACCACTAACACTCAGATAGTTATCCATGTGGAATCTCTCAGCGGGTCTCCAATGTTTTGTTCTATAACAAAACATCCACGTGTTCATTCAAGTGTCACCACACTTTAACTTGTGAGATCAGCTACTTACTTCACAAGTAAGAATGCCACACGCGATAGTCTATCCGTAATAACGATATCCGTATCTCATTATTACTTCAACCACGGACGAATTAAGATTCAGTCATATGTAATTTGTATTTCACAATCACAACTCATTGTGATTAACAAATCACCAAGATTTGAATCTACAGATTCTATTATTTAATTTATTAGAATATTAATTCAATTAAATAATAGATATTGACATACATATGCATTGATTATATATATATTCAAAGTGTTTATGTCTAAAGTTGATTGGACCTAGGACATAACACTTACACAAGCTGCAAAGTGAATCGTGTGATACATAAAAGGTACTCAAAGTCGAGGTATCTTTTAATTATCTCTTCATAATTGCAACCTTGTTGGGTACAGAGACAATTATTGGGCAGGTGATCTTGAAGAAAGGAAGAGTACGTCTGGCTTTGTATTTCACATGAGTTCAGGAGCAATTTCTTGGTCATCAAAGAAGCAAAATGTGTGAAATAAACATATCGACATCAAATTTCATTACAGTCGTGAGCTTGTCAAAGAACATGAAGTAGCTGTTGAATTCTGTAAATCTGAAGATCAATTGGCCGACATTCTTATAAAGCCATTGAAAGCTGATTTTATTTTTTATTTTTTGCAAGTTGAAGAACATGATGGGTAAGTGTAGTTTTGAGAGTTTGAGTTTAAGGGAGGCTGTTGGAGATTAAACTCAAACGGTCCTTTTTTTCTTTAGCTGAGCCACGTTGATGTTGAATAACTCTTAGGAATCTGTTTTTAAATTTCAATTTTATGCCAATAAAGTAGGACTTCAGTGGGTTAATCAACTACTTTTTGGGGGATTTTGATTCAGATTGTTGAGCTTTCAATTGGCTATAAATAGCTGATGATTCTACTGTTTTTTCATTATCAGTTCACCAATAAGAAATCTTCTTCTTCTCTTTGTTTTTTTCTGCTCTGTTTTTTTTTTTTTTAAAAGATCCCGTGTTGGGAAATTATTCTGCGTTTAATTTCTTGCAATATAGTTTTGGGTTTAGTACAACAGTGAATTGCACATGGCGGAAAGAGACTATCACTTCAATTGCCCTTTTTTTTTTGGCTACATTAAGGATTTGTCTTATCTTCCTCACAGATTATTTGGATTTCAAGAGCATACGATGGGAAGAGAACCCTTCCATTATCGAAGATGAAATTCATCATACAACACATATTGGGCGGTGTGGTGTGGAGGATTTGGGGAAGATTAAGTTCTTTCATTATCATTTTTTTATTTTCTATTTAATTATTTTAATTATTTTATTATGGAAAATATAAATGTACCATTTTACCACTCATTTAATATGTCAATTTGAGTCAAAATACAATTTTCAATGTTAACGAACAGAATTTTGGACGGAATCTGTCCAATGAACTCCGTTTACCATTAAAGTGAAAAGTTTGAGACCACAGTCATAAAAATGAAAGATTAAGGTGCAGGCAAAATAATAAAAAAATTGGGACCTCCGTTGCATTTTTTCCTATAAAAATTTAATTACTAAACTACCGTTTTTGTTAATGTTATTTTTGAGAGAGAGAGAGAGAGATTGAACCTCAAATATCAATCATATAATGCCACTCAATAAGTCAAAAAAATTATACTGTTTTATGATTCAATTGGCAGAAATTGAGGTGAAGAGAAACCAATTAACACTTCTTCCTAAAATTCTACAGACTAATCAGTGATGAATTAGAATTTCTAATTTTTTAAGATTTAAATTCTGGATTGACAACCCGCAAGTATAAAAGAAATTTTCAACAAAAAAAAATGACAAAAGGATTTAAAAATACATTATCAATAACAGATTCTAGTCCTAGGAATTTCCCAAAAAAATAAAAATTAAAAATTAAAATAATAATAACGTTTTCAGACTATTTAATAGTAGTAGTTGAAGGCTATTTTATGTCCAAAAGTAAGTGTTACAAGGCACCTTCCTGGTATTTGCCCACCGCTGAAGCCTTGACCATTCAGATGATGTAGCTACAAAATCTTTAAACTCGTCCTAATACCCTTTATAAGGGAAGTTTACAAAATTTTCAAAGTATCCGATAACCACAATCGAGGTGAAAAGTGTACGGAGTAATTAAGCTCTGCACATCTCACGAACTTTTTCTTCCTTTCCTGACAAAGGAGCCTCATTAGTACTTTCAAACATACATAGCACAGAATAGGCTAATTTATTAGAGCTGCTAAAATTAAAACCTTACATTCAGTTGATGACAAGGGGGCAAAAAAAATGAACGAACAATTTTATATAAAATATCAAAACTTGGAATTTTCGTACAAGAAAAAATTGCAGCAACGAACAACAAAGAGGTAACATATATCTCAAAATCAATCTACTTGCAGAAAACTAACCAAGGTTTGAAATTCGAGTCTACTGGATGCAGCAAAGTCAGTGTGAGAAACATCAGTACCTTCAAGCCGAGTTGCATTGCATTGCATTGGCATCAACATATTCAGCTAGGCTGGGAGACGGTCAGGAACTTCAATGCATCATCTCTAATAATATTTACCAGGTTCTGAACTACTGCTGCAGCTGTTTTGATTTAAAAAATCTGTACTGTAATTTTGACTACCAAATGCCAACCTCTGGAATAATCTTATTTCTTCAGATTGCTGCGCGGAGTTAAATATTTCACTTTCCCCGACTCTCATTCCATTAGTCAAATCTGAGGTAGCCATACTGTCGAAAGCCCTCACAACCTGAAAAGCATGAACAAAATGTAAATAAGAACAAGTCTAGCGTAGTGCCTGGAGATTTCTAAGCTAACTACCAACTACCAAGAGTCGTTACCTGTCCCATCTTTGGTCTCTTTGCAGATGAATGACGAATACAAGCAGCAGCGACCTCAATAAGTCGAAACATTTCACTGTCGACGTAATTTCTTTCAAGTCTAGGATCTGCTAACCCCTCAAATTCTTCAGTATCAAGTGCATGACTAAGAAGAGGTCGAGCCTAAAAGAGAAATGCATCAGATGACACAAGACATTTAAGAGCATATTTGCCTATACCTTAAAAAAGTAGGTCTTAAGTTTTTGAACAAAAAGTAACTTCAGAAAAAACTCAAGCACATTAAAACAAAAAGTTTCTTAATATAAGTTTCAAGCTTAGCCAACGTGGTCTTTCTATTCCATCACGACTAGTTTATGATCTACAAAATTTCAGCACTGTATTGATAAGTGGGTTATGCCAACAGTGGGAAGGTAAAACACCAGAGTCTTTTCAGTCGAGCATGGATACCTATCTCTTGAAATAAACATAAAATCTGTGTTTCCTAAGGTGAATTGAATCATACTCGATAATATTAAAGATAAAAGAGAAAAGCTCAATATACTCTACTATCTAGTACTATCCAATACAAGGTAAAGATACACTTCGATTAGTGGTCACAGACCTATAAAACAGGCTTCCAAAGAACATGGTACTCTTATCACAAGGACTGAGAGATATCTAAAATTCCTAAAAAGAAACTTACTGTATCAGCGCTGTATGGTTATGTGATGATAGACCCTACGGTTTAAATATGCGAGGCGGTGGAAGGAGGCAAAGAAATTAGCTACATTCACGTGGACTTGACAGCAGCAGATTCATCTTTTTTCGGTGGACATTGAATTATGTTAGGGGCAAGTGTAATTTGTGTAATCGTAAGAAAGAGTAGGCCTCTTGACTGCCTACATCTATCTTCGTAATCGTTCTCTAAAGCAATTCATTCAGCAAACAAAAATTCAAGTTCCACGAAACTATAGTTAACACTTCAAAATTACATATTTGTGACAATTGTTTATCAATACGATCAGTAACTGGGATCCTATCAGTCATATGATAAGATTGAACACCATGCAACATAAAAGATGAGAATTCTCCAGCCAATATTTAGCCATTTGCAAAACTAGATTAATAGAACAGCTCAGGGATTACACCAGGAAACATCATAATCACTGAAGTCTCCGTCAGGAGAAGCTGAGTACCTCCAGTCATTTCTATAACATCTAATTTCAGCTTTATTTGGTCACATGAAACAGAATAGTAGCAAGAGTCGTGAAGTGGATTTTTGAATAGTTTCAGGCTTTGTGGAGCAACTAATTTTTTTGTACAAGCCAATATATCATATCTACGACATGGACAGAACTAACACATTATTCAAACCCGTTTCTCTCATTTCCAGCTCAGAATATTATCTCGAAATTTGTACACAATTCTTGATATAATAGCTTTGGTTTTCGCATTCATCTTGGAAAAATGTTCTTCAAGAGGAAACCTAATAAAGGGTCTCTCTCAGTTGTCTAAAAGGATATATCCTTGTATTTTGTGTTTCTATAACCAATAGAGCTATATAACTTGAAGTAGCAAACACTTGTCACCAACTCCAAGAGTCCAAGGTTTGATAGTACACTCGTTTATTTAATTAGCTGATAGATATACAACTGAATCTTCTAAAGAGGTTGTTAGTAAACTTAGATGATCTTCCTCCTGCAGAAAATATGTACGTAAGGACTTTGAGAATTTATTTAAATACCACGGTCCACAGGTATCCAGAAACTCTGCTGGGGATCAATTCGCAGATAAGAGTATTCAGTTTCCAGGATTCAAATTGCTTTTGGAATTTTATTTGTTGAGCATGATTGATATAGATAGATTTTTTTAGAATAGATTTTGTGAAAAGTGATTTTTTGGAAGAATGTGAGATTAAAAGTAGGGAAAAGTTGCATTTCTCGTGCAAAACTATTTTATTGAGAGAATGTGTGGTTGAAAATGAGTTTGGGGAAAAATGAGTTCGAAGAAATCTGAACCAAACAGGGGCACAGTTAGATCTTGAGTAAGTCCAATATAGTTAGCTGATAAAAGGATTCTCACCTCAGAGGTACAAGTCAAAAGTTAAGGGCTTCATTTTTCCTGTTTTAAATGCTTCTAGATTTTTCATTCCAGCTTAATTCAAGAAGGCATCCATTATTGATCAGCAGCTCAGTTTATATATCAACATGGATTTGAGTTATCTAGCAACCAAGTTTATGTATCATCATGGATTCGAGTCATCTAGCAGCAAAGTTTATGTATCAACCTAGATTTGAACCCAGTACAAAATTGAAAAAAAGCCTAAATTTTTCAACAGTCTTAGGTAAATACCGTCAAATTTTTAGAAATGTACAGATCTTATCTCTGTAGCACGGACACTTCAATTAGGATAGCGTATCCGTGTCCGACACGTGTCGGGCACGAGTCGATACCGACACTTCTCGGACACTCTACCGTAATCATTTTTCTTTTTATATTAGAAATATTATATATTGTTAATTCAAAATTATTAGCAAGTAACAAATATGTACTCATGTTTAAAAGATTTCAACAAGAAAAATTAATAACAAGTATAAAACTAAATTTATACTATATAAATGAAGAATTTAATTAACGTCTCAATGACGTGTCGTGTCTGTACTTTTTTTAAAAATCGCATGTCAGCGTATACGGCACGTATCGTGTCGAACACATGTGTCCGTGTCGGTGCATCATAGGTTCCTATTATTGACTCCTGATTCAACTATTACAAACGTTCCCACATTGGGAGTCTGGTTTTAGTTCAAAAAACAACATCATATTGCAGATTATCATCTTTAACAAACAATAGAAACTGGTTCCAACATGGAGTGAAAACCATTCTAGTTTTATTATCAATTACTACAAACAGGTGGATACAGAAAAACTGAGATAAAATTGAGGGCTTGTTCAACCTCATGCTTCTTGACACTAACCACAGACATGAATCCCCAAGCAGATAGCTCCGATAAATGGAAAATGCTAGTGTAGAGAAGTAGCTATATAATTAGATCTCAGTCTTCAGAGTGAAAATACAAATAGGTATTTACGAACTTACCCACTCAACAAGGCTCTCATCACCTAGGGGTTGAGATGTATCCACAGGCTTACGTCCAGTAATAAGCTCCAAAAGCACAACCCCGAAAGAAAACACGTCGGACTTTTCTGTCAGCTTACCACTTGATGCATACTCAGGAGCCATGTATCTGAATCAAGCCAACCACAGCTATTAGAATAAAGATGATGTAACTATTACGATCTCTTGGTCCATCCGACTTGCTTGTGACACAGAGACCAGTTTTAGATATCAACTTACCCAAAGGTTCCCATAACACGTGTGGTAATATGTGAATTTGCATCAATAGCTAATTTAGCAAGTCCAAAATCAGAAACCTGTCAAGCCATAATGTGATTTTCAAATGCATTGTACTGAAGTACATACAAAGATAATGTTTGCCAGAAGTTGGGCATACCCGAGCTTCGAAGTTGTTATCTAGAAGAATGTTTGAAGACTTGATATCCCTATGGATAATACGGGGATGGCCTGTGATTCAAATGAAGATTAATTCAACATCTTACCAAATTCATATCATTTTTTCTCCATGAACTTCAGTATATCCAAATTATCACCAATTACTCAAGAACTACAACAGCCACTGTTGAAAAAGTCAAGGATTGTTAGTAACATGTCTTGCTACTGTCCTAGTCCATAGGAGGTTTGATTTGTTATTTTACCTGATCTTTAGGTAGTTTCTGCTGGATTGTTGCTAGTACTTGGTTTTCATGGTCCTATTTTAAGTAAATGTTTGTTGAAGTCTTTAGAAGTAAGTAACTTGTATTGCTTATAAATAGGCTAGATCCCTTCGTGAAATAGAAGAGAAATAAAACTACTCTTCTCTTCTTTGTTTTGCTTTTACAGCAACAGCTTTACTTCGACTTCTTGCAAGAAGTCTTTTAATTGTATCAGTGGTATCACAGCCAGTTTGAGAAAGAAAAAGAGAACTTAAGAGCAATTATTCATGGTCTCTGACAGTTTTGTGCAGCCCGCAATACCTGACTTCGATGGTCATCATGATTATTGAAGCATGTTGATGTAGAACTTTCTAAGGATCAAGGAGTACTAGCAAGTAATTTCCCAAGGAGTTCCAAAAATTGCAACTGGCACAGCAGTGATAGATGCACAGAAAACAGAAGTGGATTGCCAATGTTTAAAGGGTCTTAATTGTTCAATCTTGGAGACTATTCTTTGTAAAGACACCTCCAAACAGATATGGGACTCCATGAAGAAGAAGCATCAAAGTTCAGAAGGACAAAGAGGCAACAACTTTAAGCACTCTGTTCAGAATTTGAAAGACTCCGCATGAAGACAGGAGAATCTATTACAGAATACATCTCCCGAGTAATGAGTATTGTCAGCAAGATGCACATCCATGGTGATAAGTTTGAAGATATCACCATTATCGAGAAGATCCTTAGATCCATGACACCGAAGTTCAATTTTGTATTATGCTCTATAGAATAATCAAAAGATATTGATGATCTCTCGGTTGATGAACTACAAAGCTCTCTGCTAGTTCATGAACAAAAGTTCAAACAACAAGACAAGAAGGATAAAATAGAGATGACAACAGGCAGTATCAAAACTTCAAAGCAGATGATGATAATCTCAATGGAAAGGCAATGGATGTGATAAAACATTTGATGAGTCCTATGTATAGGGCTTCAAGTGTCATAAATTTGGTCATTATCATTCTGAACGTTACACTAAATTGCCTAAAGACAAAGAAAAAGGGAAAAAAAATTGAATTTTGCAGAAAAGAAAGAAATAGAAACTTTTTTGATGACTTACCATGTCAACGAGGAACGTAAGTCAGATTTTTGGTATGTGGATGTAAGATTATGAGTTAACTGTGATTGATCAATCTGAGGATCCACTTGCTCATTTTGCCTTGCTTGCAGATTGTGATCATTTAACATTCCAAGAAGTTGTCAAAGATGAAAAATGGCAAAGAGCCATGAATGAAGGGATAAGGTCTATAGAGAAACAATAGTTAGGAATTGAAGGAACTTCCAAAAGGGTAAAAGTTCATCGGTATTAAATAGGTTTATAAAACAAAGCTGAAGAAAGATGGCAAAGTCGAAAGTACAAACCTCGGCTCGTTGCAAAAGGGTACAAGCAAGAACCGGGTATTGACTACAAAGAAGTGTTTGCTCCTATTGCAAGGCTTGACACAATTCGTTTGGTGATATCCATGGCTCCTCAGAATTCATGGTCCATCTATCAGTTAGATGAAAAGTCGACATTTTTGCATGGTGAATTAGAAGAAGAGATATACATTAATCAACCTCTTGGATATGTTAAGCAAGGACATGAGAATCAGTATAGCTTTAATACGAACTGAAACAAGCACCAAGCGCTTGGTATAATCGTGTAAGTATTTACTTTGTCCCTCATGAATACACTCTATACTTAATATGAGTTGATGATCTCATTTGTACCAGTAATGATGTAGCCATTCTTAATGATTTTAAGAAATCCATCATACATGAATTTGATATGAGAGATTTGGGGTTGATGCACTATTTCCTTGGCATCGAAGTAATGCGGTCATCTACTGATATTTTTATTTCACCAAAAAAAGTGTTCTCAAAATTTTAGACAGGTTCAAACAGAACAGTTACCACCCCAACTGAACTTGGTCTGAAACTCACAAAGAATGAAGTAGGAAAACATGTGGATGCTACTCTTTACAAGCAAATTGCTGAGAGTATTATGTATATATCAACAAGACCAGATATCATGCATGCTGTCCATTTAATGAGTAGATACAAGGAGAATTCAGCTGAAGTTCATCTCTTAGCTGCAAAGAGTCTTTCGCTACTTAAAACGCACTGCAGAATTTGAAATTCTGCATAAAAGTGACAGAATGTCGAGCTTGATTCGGTTTTTAGATAGTGATTATGCTAGAGATCTTGATGAACGAAAGAGTACTTTTGGATTTTTGTTTATGTTGAATTCCAGAGCTGTAACATGGTCAACAAAGAAGCAACAGATAGTAGGACTTTGTCAACCACCGAGACTGAGTTCATTGTTACAGCATCAAGTTCATGTCAAGCTATTTGGTTACAAAGGATACTTGGAGTTCTAAACAACCAACAACAAGGTCCAACTTAATTGTGAAAATATTTCTGCAATAAAGCTTTCAAAAAAAATCAATCCTACATGAGAGGAGCAAACATATTAATGTGAGATATCACTTCCTGCGTGATTTATTAAAGATGGTGTTATTGATTTGGTGTTATGTAAAGGTGAAGATCAGGTTGCAAAAACTAATTTCTTCCTAAACTGATTTCTGTAGATATTAAGGGAGGGATTGTTGAAAAAGTCAAGAATTGTTCTTAACGTGTCTTACTTTTGTCATAGTCCATAGAAGGTTGCTTTTTGATTTGTTATTTTACCTGGTCTTCAGGTAGTTTTTGCAGTAGTAGGTCGTTGTTAGTAAATGGTTTTCATGGTCCTATTTTTAAGTAAATGTTTGTTGAAGACTTTAGAAGTTTGTAACTCGTATTGCCTATAAATAGGCTTGATCCCTTGGTGAAATAACAGAGAAATATAACTACTGTCACTTCTTTGTTTTGCTATTTTACAGCAACAGCTTTATTTCGTCTTCTTGCAAGAAGCCTTTTGATTGTATCAGCCACAGGTAACCACGGAATTGTCTCTTATTGTCCATTTTTACTTTTGAATCCCCTCATGGAACCAAATACGAGTTAAACCCCATAGCCAAGCATTGTTCTCTTTTTCATTGTTTTGTTTATATTTTATTAATTACATTCTTGTATTATCCGTCATCAGAGATGTTTGTCATTAATTAAGCTTTAGGGTTTTCTTTTCTTAGAAACTGCTAATTAAACACTTCAAATTTCATTTTCTAAGAAGCACGGATATGCGTAAACCTATTGTGTAATCGTACCCAATATGTATCCAAACATGAATACACTTGAACACACCCTAATACGTATCGAATAAATATTTTTAAAATTATTTTATATTTTTAAAATTTTCAACAGACATTGTTCATTTGAAAAGGAAGTGTTTTATTGATTTTGAACTCTTTTAAAACTCATTACCATTGACAATATTTTTTACTTAATAGATAACCGTTATCGTTATCAATAATTATTGAAAATAGATAATAATTATTAATTAACAATTTCAAATAAAGTAAACGTGTTTGAAGATAACATATAAATATAAAATTTATATTTGTTATTAAAAGTAGAAATAATGTTAAATAATTGACAATTAGAGTTTTAAATTAATTGACAATCAGAGTTTTATTACTGAAAATAGAAATTAGTATTAAAACTCTTAATACATGTAAAACCGTGTTAATAGTTAACAACTATAATTTTATTATTGAAAAGTATTATAACCTTTAATACACGTTAGGATTCTATTTTAATGTTTTTTATAAGCCCCTATTTGACAACCATTATTTTAACTCTTTTTTCCTCATACTCATTTTCAACCACAAATTTACACAAAATATTCTGCACGTAAACTAAAAACATTTTTCTACGTTTTAACCACACATTCTCCAAAAGATCATTGTTCAAAACTCTATTTTACTCAAATAATGATTGTCAAACAGGGGCTAAATATGTAATTATGTTGAATTCTATAAACTTATGAAAAATACTACACCCGTATCAGTGCATCCTAATTTTTTTTAAAAGTTGTATCAATGTATCTGTATTTGAATTACGTTTCCAAATCTATGCTTCTTAGGTCGTTTTATTCGGTTGTTTTTGAATATTGAATAAGAAAATGGAGAAATCTATCAATAATTCTCGGTATTCTTCCCAAAACAACGAGTTGGGTTTGTGTTCTTCGTCTTTTCATTCTTTCTGCCTGCGTGAATGCACTTATTAAAAGGCTGTTCTCTTATTTTCTGTGAGATTAGCATACTTCTAAAACTACATCCTCAAGTTTCCATTAGCAACTCTTCGAGAGAGTTGTGCCCAATTAAATGGAAAATGAATTCTTTCTTTTTTTTACAGGACATAAAGCAGCTCCTAAGATTTATATTGCTTTAATTTGTTCTACTTGTTCAAAAGTTCAACTTAAGATTACCGTTTCTCCAGCTAAATGCAATTAATCATACATTTACAGGACAAAACCCAGAGTTACAAGACCAGCATAGCTTAAAGATTGGACCTTCAGAAACATTTTTTTTTTTTTAATTCCCAATTGTGTGGGTAAAAAGTCTTTAATCTGTCCATAGCTTGTTTCATTCTTTTTTCCCCTCAATATATGACAAAAGTTTTGTTTAAATGGCCTTCATCATTATATTATTATGGATATAATTCCATGTTGTCAACAATGTAAACACAAACTCAAATTTTGAAGATTTATAGCAGCGACAACCAAAGCAATAGTTACTGAGAAGAATAGAAAAAAGCAGACAAGAGACTTTTCTTTTTGGTAGAGAGATGTTACGGAGATAAACTATGAAAAATAAAATGGGAAAGAAAAGAAGAATATAGGTCACTTACAGTCTTCATGAAGATAAGCTATTCCACGAGCTGCACCAATAGCTATTTTTACACGAGTTGCCCAATCCATAACAGGCCTACTTTTACCTGAAAGTTTAAGGAGCGACAGTCAATATCAGTTACAATTTTATCACAAACTGTACGCTCAATAGTAAATATTAACTTTACCGTGAAGATGGAAGTAGAGGGTATCATTAGCGACATAGTCATACACAAGCAGCCTTCTGTTCTCGGAAATGCAATAACCTACGAGTGAAACCAAATGTCTATGGTGTATGCGACTAATTATCTCAACTTCAGATCTGAATTCTCGCTCCCCCTGCTGTCCACCAACCTTTAACTGCTTGACTGCTATCTCTGTACCATCTGCTAGGATTCCTTTGTACACAGAACCAAATCCTCCTTCGCCTAAGAGATTATGTACTGAAAATCCATTAGTGGCGTTGACTAGTTCGTCATAGGTGAACCATGACCTTGAATTTCCTAAGCCACCAGGGTCATGTGATGAATAGACGGAATCATGGACAGAGCCACTTCCGTAGTTGGATGCTGATATGTGTACCTTCAATAAGGCAGCGTCTGAACATGGACAACATTTCACGTTGTTTGAAAACATGGAAAAACATAGACCGAAATGTTAAAAATATAATATATCAGTAGTATTCCACACTGTTACCTGATTTTGGGGAAGAGCCTAGAGAATTTGGCATAACATAACCACCATCAAGTCCAGAAACCTTTTTCTTTCGCTTCCATATGCACCATGCTGCTGTTCCAGCGATACTAAGCAACAAAAGGCCAAGTACTAAACCAATTGCTAATGTGCCTCCGGTACTAATGCCTCCTCCACCTGTGGGTGGTGAACTTGGTGGAACATTAGCAATGGAGTTATTGGTTTTCGTACTACCCGATGGAACTAGGGAAGATGAAGGAGGAGACAGGGGTGGTGATGACACAGGGGCCGAAGGAGGTGGTGACATTTGGTTTACAGGTGATGGTGGTGGTGGTGGTGGTGATCTAGGAGGAGAATTCAAAGATGGTGGAGACGTGGGTGGAGGAGTCAGAGTTGGAGGGGGTGGACTTTCTGGAGGGCTTGATACCGGAGGTGGAGGTGAATTTTGGGGTGGTTTAGCAGCTGGATGTGAAGGGGAATTTTCAGGTGGCTTGGATGTTGGTGGGGGTGGTGAATTCTCAGGTGGCCTGGGAGGTGGAGGTGGAGGTGATCTTTCTGGGGGCTTTGTGGTTGGTGGTGGTGGAGCAAGTTTTGGCGGCTCAGGCACAAGTGGAGGGGGGCTTGTAGGGGGTTTAGGTGGTGGAGGGGGAGGTGAATTCAATGGTGGATCTGTTGATGGAGGTGGTGGTGAACTAGTACGAGGATCAGATGGTGGAGGTGGTGAGGTAGCTGGTGGATTAGGAGGAGGAGGTGGTGGCGAGCTAGCTGGCGGATTAGAAGGAGGTGGAGGAGGCCTTGCAGGCGGATCAGAAGGTGTTGTTGGAGGAGGACTGGAAGATGGAGGTGATAAATTGGCAGGAGGAGGTGGAGCAGGTGTAGGCTGAGGAGGGGGAGATGTAGTAGCTGGTGGGGAAGCCATGGAAGGAGGGGATGCTGGTGAGAAAGGAAGAGTTGCAGTTAGAGGTGATTGAGGTGGTGGAGATGCAATTGGAGAGGGAGTGGATGTAGTTAAATTGGGCTGAGATGGTGGTGCTTCTGGAGGACCAGATGGTGATGAATTTAGTGGATCGGGAAGCGGAGAGGAAGACTGCGGTGGTGGAGAGTTAGAAGGTCGTGGAACAGCAACGGGCGGAGAATTTGGGGAAGGAGATGTAGATGCCATCTAATGGGCATCCAAAATTAATTAAATTCCACCATTTCCACATCTATATACTTTAATGTACTTCAAGAATTCAAGAACTTCATCCAAAATCCACAAACAATTCAATTATCAGGCAACAAAGTCTCTAACCTAATATCATCTACTTTCGATATAACCAAGTTCGCTTCAGCAAAATCCAAACTCAATCCGAGTAACTATCGAGATTACTGCCCAACGACAAGTAAAAAGAACTGCATTTTCTTAGCAATGCCAAAAAGATTCATTTTTTTGTGAAGCTCACTCAGAATTGTCTGCCTCACAATCAAATCTGCAGAGGACCCAGTATCAATTTCCAGTTTAAACCAAACCACAATTGCCAATATCCAGCTTACCTTCTTGATAAACACTAAGCCCACATCACAAAACCCTTCAAAAACTTCAGTACCAATTACAGAACACAGCTTTCAGCAACTCCCAGATCACTAAACCACTTACACACCAAAACCCAGAAACCCCAAATCAAGAAAAGTCACAAATCTTCAAATTCAGTAACAGATAAAAAGCACACTGTTATTTTCTATGTAAAAGCACTTTTCTAAGTAGATGTTGAATAATCTTCAGTAGATTTTCACCTCCTCTTTGTCTCCATCTATTCTTCTACAGCTACCATCAGCAAATTGAAAGGTGCAGCAAATCTTACCTTCACAGAGCCAAGAAGAAAGCTTCTATTCAATTTTTTGAAGCAATTGAAAGCTTAAACATGAAAAATGGAAAATGGGGTCTTCTTTCATAAACTCAGTACCAAATCAAACCCCAAAAATGTAACCGACTTTCCAAGAACAACACTCATGACTCGACTGCTTGAATGTGAATATATAACTGGGTTATTTATATTTTTTCAGGTTTAAAATGAATAATAAGGTCTCTGTCAATAATAATGTTGTTATGCAGATTTTAACTTCAAAATCGAAGTGTATGGTTTAAATTTAAAATAGAATGGGACGGAGATTACGCAACGTTGCGGCTAAGCAAAAGGGAAAGTCCTTTTTTTTCTCCGTGTTATTTCTTATATAAAAAAGTTGACAAAAAAATTTAAATTAAAATAATAAATAATTTTTTTAATCATACATTTTATAAATTCATTATTTTTATCTCCTTTTCATTTCATTAACTTTTTTCAAATTACAAAATCAAATGAGTAAATTATTAAAGGAGTCCTTGCTCATTTTTTGGGTTTGCGATCTATTAAGGTACAATCATCATTATATATAAACTTACCAACGATATAAATCACATTTGTTTGAACCACACTATTTTGGAAGAATGTATTTGAAATAGTTGATTGATGGAGAATGTATGATTGAAAAAGAAGGAAAAGTTACTGATGTGATGGAAAATATTATTTTATTGAAAAATATGTGGTTGAAAATTAATAGAAGAATGAGAATGAAAATTTTAATGTGGTTCAAACAGGGACTAACAAACTCTGTAGAGTGCGATTGACTAGAGTCGCCTTCAACTAAATACTGGACATATAAAAGAAAAATAAAGCAAGACCATGAGGTATAGTACAAATCTCTTTAGAAGATCAAATAAGCTTTTGTGTGTAACTTAATAACACCGACGTCATCCCTTTAAACATGATAATAACTTTTGAGTCAAAGGACAAGATGTGAAAGTGGGTAAACTTTAGCCCCTGTTTGAGCTCCATTAAAATGTGGTTTTGGGGTTAAATGCATTTTAAAATAATAATTTTTTAAATAATGTGTTGTTAAAAATGAAAGACAACTTAAAAAATAGATTTTTCTAAGTAGACTTATATACCTTCGAAAATAATGACACTACATTAACAATTGCGTGTACTATATTGGACAAACGATGGTTGAAACATTATTGTTTTCTACTATCCATTAATTTTGTCATTGGGGGTGTCGAGTTAGCAAATCACTATCCAGCTTATTCCATTAGAAAAAGACCACATCATCTAGAGTTGTTTTTATTTATTTATAGACTTTTAACCTATTATTAAAAAAAGAAATAATTTAATTATTGAGAATCTCATGTCACATGGTATATAATCGTGTGTTTCCCTCACAATAGAAAAAAGAATAGAATATTTTTTCTCATTATTTTTACTATTCAAAATTGCTAATGGTCCAATGACTTGTGATCATTTGGACTTTTCCTTTTGGCTATTGACTCAAATATTCTAATATTCAGCTTAGCGTCAAAGACTAGTTCAAGGGCTTTATTACTTTTTTTTTCTTTATGGCATTAATGAGTCCTTACGCGTTGGGTCTGATTCAATAAATGCCAATTTTTAATTAATATATAACTACTTCCCATTTAATAGTATTGGAATAGGATCATACATTAGTGGTATTTGGTATATTTCAAATTCTATTGACCCTTAAATTCTTCAAATTATTATTTCACCTTTTTCCAAAGTTTTCTTTTTTGGGTTACCCATTGGGAAATTATATGTTTGGAGAATCAATAATATTGCGCTTAAATAATTGGAACCTAATTACAAAGAGTAATGTTATTCATCCTCACTGGGGTTACAAACACAGTCTAGGTCTTACAAACACAATCTAGGTGGGGACCTAAACTGTGTTTGTAACCCCAATAGGGATGAATAGCATTACTCAATTACCAATCATGCAACATGGACATGGTTCTTGACATGAAGTTTTACATTGTTCCATGTGTCGCGGCATGATTGGCCAGTATGAAAATAAAAAACAGTTTCCCGCCCATTCACTTTTGAAGTTGCAAAGACATGTCAAATATCATGTACAAAATCAATGTACAAATGGTTTAATCTTTACATTTTTGTCACAAGGAAATCATTCCTGATCACTCTCTCTATTAATGAAAAAGAATACTGTTATTTGTACCACATTGACCCACTCACAAGAACATAATTGTCAATGTCAAGGGCCCCAAAATAACCCAGCAAACATACATGTAACGACACAAATGTACCAAGAGTAGTGGATGCACAGATGGGTCACTTACATCCAATTGGAATGCAATGTTTGTGGCTATGGCCAATCCTATGTTAATTACATTTTTGACTTTATTATCAAAAACCTTGATATTCATGTATTTTTTTTTAGCATTTGCACAATCTATTTTGAACTAGACAAATTAATTTAATCATTGACTAGCATTTATCTATTTTGAAGTTTACATTTCAAGCATTTTCACACCTACTACACCATTTTAATCATAATTATTAAATTCGAATTGGTTTGAATGGTCAAACCAATAAATGGGCAAATCGGATAATAATCCTATTGAGTCACATGATAAACAGTGTGTCAATTGAACCAGTCAAAACCATTAGGTGTTGGATGGGGTTTAAAAGAAATTGAACTTGATGAGTTTTTTTTTTTTTAATACAAGGCCATGTTTAAATCCTATATTTCAGGAAATGTAGATTTTGGAATAGTGATTTTTCGAAAAATGTATGATTGAATAATATGAAAAAAATTTGAGTTCAAGTGTAAAATTATTTTATGGAAAAATGTGTGATTGAATATGAATTTTAGAAAAAAATGAGTTTTGAAAAAAAGTGAAACTCAAACATGTGCTAAATCCTCTCGTGCAAAATATATATACCAGCATCTAGAACCTGCCTTTGAAGGATTTGAGTTCCACCATTGTGCTGTCACAAGTTTTTACTAATAATAGTGAGCGACATATATATATATATATATATATATATATATATAAGGAGACATCTGGCATCAACTTTCTCAAA